ACTTTTGAGAAGCTGCACCGAGTTCCCACGATCACCATTGGCGCTTGGTGTTTGGAGGTACAAGCTCAATAATTTTAACCATTTATAAGACATGCTCGTGTTGATTTGTGTCTGTGATTAGCACTGTTTCGTGGTGTTTGTTGTCCCGGCTGAGTGACCTCAGCTTTTTGTGGCATTCTTGTCTTAAATGAAGGGGAAACATCGAGATCGCGTGTATAATTAATTCGGCAGATGGGATGACTTATAACTTTGTGTTTTACTTTACAACATAAGAAAGTATTGTGAACCTTGGAGCTTCTTCCCTCTGTTTAATTTCCACTAAATGGATCTGGGATGAGTCAATTTTTGGGACAATGAATGCCCACTAGATCTGGGATCAATGCAACAATCTTGGACGTGATTTTCACAAGAAAAATGCATGAGAGAGAATTTGAAAAGGTTACTTTTTCAGTTCATTCTTTCAGTTTGTAGAGAAAATTCGATTATCTGGAAATATGACAAAGAGTAACGGACCTAGTCATCTTAGGTTGACAAAACCGGGTCATGCTCTCTCGTCACCTTAGGATGTTGTTCCATAATCATCTTACAAAATATTCTCACAATATTTTACGATGGCCATGGATGGATTAACTTGGAAACTTCAGTCAATAATGAGGTTCCTGTCTCATGTGACCAACTACTAGAATTTTCAATCCTTAAAATATCACAAGTTATACATGAGAAGCATATGTAAAAAGTCTCGATTCTTAAAGAGATTCACTTGTTCATTTCTACTTGTGGTATCCTATCGGTCTTTTCCTGGCTGGGAGACAGGACCAAAGGATATCGTATCTGAATGGATTGTAATTTTGTTATTCTCTATTCATGTTAAACAGGAAAACTGGTATTAATTAGCTTTTCTATGTTGCTTGCTCGATGTGGTTAGATTCTGTCCCTTTTGGAGATGAAAGGAGTGCCATCTCCATTGTCAAAATGTCAGAATCTGACACTACATGGACCAGTTAGTCAATGGGACCTTCCTGGGATAGCATACATGCTTCGAAGTTCACCCTGCCTGGAAAAATTAGTCATACTCCTGACTGACCTCCCCCCATTGATGGTATGTTTCTGTGGTATGATATTTTCAGTTTGCTTGTTGTGCTGACTTCTTTCTCGCACGAATGTTTAAACAACGAGTTAAAACTTTGGAAGGACATAAAGATGATTAATCTCAAACTCTTATTTGTTCCAGCAAAATTAGCTCACGATTCTGTCAGTCTACTCAACATTTGTGCAGGGCAATATTAAGCTGTTTTAGTTCATGTCTTAAAGTAACTGCAGTGATGTACTGGAGGTTCTTTTGCTGCCATGTAGTGTTAGGATCTTGAACTAAAAGTTTAGCGATGAGCATTTAGAAGGAGAACATGTTTTATATGTGTAGATGAGTTAAGAGCTTAAATTGATTAAGACTCGTTATAAAGTAAAACTAACTAGCATCTGCAGTCAAATGAAAGTTGTTTGTTTGAAATTTTAGCGAGTGAATGAATTTATTTTTCCCGTGGATCTGCATCTGATGGGGAGTCAGTTTCTTATATGAGGTATCTATGTGCAGTTTATGCTTGATGAAGGATGTTTTAACTTTGATGAAGAAGATTTTTTGTGTTCACGGAAGGGGAACTTTCAATGTTTGGCGAAACATCTCAAGAGAGTTGAGATCATCGGTCCGGAAGCTGATAGTTTTGGGTCGAAACATCTGCTTGCCCTGATTAAGTTTCTTCTTGGGGATGCACTTGTGCTGGAGAAGTTGATTATCAAGGCTAAATTGCCCACACGACATGGACAAAAAGGTTTTGAAGCCGCTGTTCTGTCGAAACTATTTGGTGTGAGCAAAAATGTGCTCAGCTGTCGAAGAGCTTCCAAACATGCTGAGGTTATCTTCGATTGTCCTTCTGAATAGGTGTCCTCATAAAAGCATATGAAAGTCCGGGTTTCGGGTATGTTGGCCTGGGCACTACGCTGCTCATTTGGATTCACACTCTTTTGACAGTAGAGACTGTAGAGTTACCTGAAGTTTGACAATGCATCTAATTTTCTCTTTTTTCAAGTTTCATTCTAGTTGTAAATACGAACCTCTCAAGGGAAGAAGTTAATACTGGTGCCTTGGTTCAAGGAAAAAAATTTTCCTGGCAAAAAAGTTTGTAGTCGGGACTAAACTGTGTTTACGGTTTGATTTGGTTGAGCTTTTTGAAAACCTAAACAAATCGTGTAATCATTAGTCTTACCGTTGGCTTGGTTAGGTTTTATTGAACGTTCACGTGTCATTTTTTTCTATTAATAGTCACGGGATATCAAAAAAATTAAAAAAAATCGCGTGACATTTTTCATTCACTTAAAATTGACGAAGTTAACAAAAAAGATTTAAGTGCATCAAAGTTGTATGTTTGAGAGGATTTTAATGCACGAAATGTAAGTTTTTGGAACTCAAGCGCATTGTCATAACAAGTTTTAGGACTTGTCCTATAATTATCCGATAAAAGCATTATCATATAAGAGTTCGAGTTTGGCTAATTTTTTAGATTGTTTTTATACTAAGACCTATTTTAAGTTACACAAACTTTTGAATCTGAAATTTAATATAAACTAGCGACATTAAAGCAGTTTATCATATATACCTGTCCTTTTGGCCGGTTAGCAGCTTATCACTAGTTGAAAATGCAAGCTAGGGGGGCGACGACAGCGCAAATGCAAGCTCGTCTGATGTCGGTCAAGGTACAGGTTCGCAAGGAGTTTTGTGGTCATGCATGACTTTGTATCGACACACTCTCGATCAAGCACCAGCGAAACTATAGTCGAAAGAATGCCCAACAAAAACACCAGTAAGACGACAGTAACGGGAGCCATACCTTAGCTTGTAGCATCAAATGGAAGATCCGAAGGACATGAACTTGGAGCTTCTTTGGGATACTTATTTCCTTGATTTGGAGGTTATCCCTTACACACTCTTCCATCAGGTGACATGCTTCAATTGCTTCACCGGCAGGATTATTTTGAGCATGACATGTCCCCCACTGCATTTTCAAGTGTTACAATATATCAATCAAAGAAGCCCTCAACTTATTGTACTCGACCTCCGTCTCAAGCGCTCATCTTGCATCTTATATTTAGATCATTTAGTGTTTTAACTTTTATTGCATACTTTGGATTAGTCAGGTCCATTGTCAATGCAACAAAACAATTTTTAGTTTTGCTATAGATTTAGTACATTCGACTCTTGTGTACATATTGACACGTAATCTCAATTGAAATTTTCTAGAATCTTTTTCTATAATTATCTAACAATTAAAGCTATGTGTTTTCCTTTGAAAGATAACATCAAAGCACATTCTAGACGCGGTATATCTTATACTAATTCGTTGTGCTCTACCCCCTACCAAGTACACTTGGTCATTGACATTATAAGACCATGGGCATTGAGTACACTTGAGTTTTTAAGCATGGCACTATAATGTTGTTCTAGGGGAAAAAAGCACTATAAGGATTCATTTATTTCATGAAAAATGAACGATTTGAAAAATATTTTTCAAAAAATGATCGCTTGTGTCGTCTGCAAAAATGAATGAACGAAAAATATTTTCATTGCCTACGAGAGTATTTAGACATAAATTGTAATCGATAATGAAAGTATTTTTCATTGAATAATCATTTCGCGCGATATAGACAATTATTTTTTAGAAAATGATTTCTAAATTATTTATTTTTCGCGAAACGAATACACTCTAAGGTTAAAAGGTTGAATAAAGTTTGATAGAGAGATAACGGAAATTCCAACCTACTTGACATGGTCGTCTTACAAGCTTTGAGTTCTTCAATGACCATCCTTCAAACTGCACACATCCAACAATGCCTTGGTGCGATTCTCGTGCGATGAGGACATGATATCCCTCGATCGAGCTCTCTTGGCACGAGATCGCTCCTCTCTTGACCCTTGTCTCCAGCAGCAGCAATAGCAATAGCATCCAATTCCGACATTCTCTCCACCACTTGGTACGCACCTCAAAGTCTCTCAATCGTGCTTTGTATAACTTGTTCCGATACCACTTGCCACGGCTTGACGCTTTGAAATCGCAACGACAGTGCGGCATTAAGGCTTCGTTTGTTTGGCTCGTTCATTCCTAACTAGGGTTGCCTGAGCTCACCACTCCCTCGAACTATGCCGGTTCTTTTTCTTTTTTTCTTTAACATTAGGCATTGCATCAACGTCATCAAATAATTTCGCTTTGGCAATTTATTGGGTTATCGATTGGTCATGGAACAACGATATGATGAAAATTATAAAAAGAAAAAGAAAAAAAGGCAAGAGATTAAAAATAAAACTTTATCGATTAAATGGGGCCAAATGACTTTATTATCCTTCACCTTCTTCTAAAGCTCAGCTCAGAAGTAGGGGTACGCATGGTCCGGGCGGGCGGTTCCCAGCATGGAACTGGGAACCGCTCGCTAAGGACCAATTCCGAGAAATTGGAATCGGGAATCGCCCGTTGGTTCCATGGATCCACCCAGGAACCGGACCACCAGTCCGGTCCAATTTTCGGGTGGGTCCATGGAACCGGTCCCATCAAATTTTATCCAAATGAAGGTAACCGAGAGTGAAAAAGGGAGGCGATGAATAGCTAGAGGTGCGGTGGTGAGTTAACGGAAGTTGAGAGTTGAGCTTCAAATTAGTATTTTATGGTTTTCATTTTTCTAAAAATGTTTTCTTTTTTTTTAGGTTGAAATTTTTCTTAAAAATTATATATGCATATATAGATTACCGGTCTCATCTGGTCTGGGTGGGCAGTTTCATGCCTAGAACCGGGAACTGGACCGGTACTCACCAATTCTAATAAATTATAACCGGGAATCAGACCCGTCCTCATGTGAACCGCCAATTTCGAGCCAGTCCAGTTCGATTCCGGGCAGTTTCAGATTTTTTTGCACACCCCTACCGAGAAGTCCTTAGTCATAGGCGGCGTGTAAAAAAGACGGAGAGATAAAAAGTAAAATCCTTCGAAATCTCCGCGGGAAAATCTGCGGGAACCCTAGAAATTCAATTCCATGGCGGAGCCCTCCGTCCACGGCGCCACCCGCCGCAGTTCCTCCGGCGACCGGCCGAATCGCGCCGATCCAGACCGACCTCCTCCTCCTCCTCCGTCGCGACGAAGCGGAAGCCCTAGCGACCTCATCAGCGCCTTGCCGGACGCCGTGATCCACCGCATCTTCTCATATCTGCCCCTCGAAGACGTGGTCAAGACCAGCGTCCTCTCCAAGCGGTGGCGGTCCACTTGGACCTCCACCACGGAACTTGTCTTCGATGGAGAGATTGAAGACCGGCCTCGCAGTACCTTCGACTTCTGGTCCATCGTCGACGCCGTCCTGAGCCAGTGCACGTCCCCCACGGTGAAGAGGTTCCACGTCACCGGTCTAAATTGCGAGTGGACCGACCAACCCAAGGTCGAGCTCTGGCTCGGCTTCGCGGCGCGGCACCGCGTGGAGGATCTCCGCCTGTGGCTGGCTAACGGGTCGTCGTCCTTTTATGTACAGCTGGGGATCGTGTATTGCTTGAGCTGGTTGGTGCGCCTGGATGTCTGTCGCTGCACTTTCTCGTTGGGTGGTACTATTAGTTGGCCTTGTCTTAAGTTCTTGTCGATCGAATATGCGGGGTTGAGTGATGATTTACTCAGGCGAATCTTCAGGGGAAGTCCTGTGTTAGAGTCCCTTGAGTTGCGCGATTGCTGGGGCGTGAAGAACATTATAATAGATTCAACAAGTGTGAAAGAGTTGGTATATGTCCACCCCGGATACTCTCGCGCGAAGAGAATGAAAATTTGGGCGCCGCATTTGCTGTTGTTGCGTGTATCAGGGATGTGGCACTACTATGACTTTTTCGGACTCGACGATATATCTTCTTTGGTGGAAGCTGAGATAGATTTTCAAATTCTATATGGTGGCAAGTGGATGTGCTGCGACCTGTTGAAGGAAACTTTTGAGAAGCTGCACCAAGTTCCTACAATCACCATTGGCGGTTGGTGTTTGGAGGTACGAGTTCAATAATTTAACCATTAATAGGACATGCTCGTGTTGATAGGTACCTGTGATTAGCACTGTTTCGTTGTGATTGTTGCCCCGGCTGAGTGACCTCAGCTTTTTGTGGCATTCTAGTCTTTCATCAAGGGCAATCATTGAGATCGCTTGTATAATTAATTCGGCAGATGGGATGATATATAACTTTGTGTTCCGATTTACAACATAAGAAAGTATTGTGAACCTTGGAGCTTCTTCCCTCTGTTTTATTTCCAATAAATGGATCTGGGATGAGTCAATTTTTTGGGACAATGAATGCCCACTAGATCTGGGATCAATGCAACATTCTTAGACGTGATTCTCACAAGAAAAATGCATGAAGAGATTATTTGAAAAGGTTGCCTTTTCAGTTCATTTTTCAGCTTGTTGAGAAAATTCAATTATCTGGAAATATGACAGAGTAATGGACCTAGTTATCTTAGGTTGACAAAACCGGGTCATGCTCTCTTGTCATATTAGGTTGATGTTCCATAATCATCTTACAAAGAATTCTCAAAATATTTTACAATGGCCATGGATGGATTAACTTGGAAACTTCAGTCATAACGAGGTTCGCTGTCCCATGTGACTAACTACTAGAATTTTCACTCCTTCAAATATTACAAGTTCTACATGAGAAGCATATGTAAAAAGCCTATATTCTCAAAGCGATTCACTTGTTCATTTCTACTTGTGTTATCTTGTCGGTCATTTGCTGGTTGGGAGACAGGGTCAAAGGATATCGTATCTGGATGACTGTAATTTTGTTATTCTCTACTCATGTTAAACTGGAAAACTAATATTAATTAGATTTTCTATGTTGCTTGCTCAATGTGGTTAGATTCTGTCCCTTTTGGAGATGGAAGGAGTGCCAGCTGTATTGTCAAAATGTCAGAATCTGACACTACATGGACCAGTTAGTCAATGGGACCTTCCTGGGATAGCATACATGCTACGAAGTTCACGGTGCCTGGAAAAATTAGTCATACACCTGACTGACCTCACCCCGTTGGAGGTTTGTTCCTATGCTATGATATTTTCAGTTTGCTTGTTGTGCTGACTTCTTTATCGCACAAATATTTAAACAGTGAGTTAAAACTTTGGAAGCACATAAAGTTGATTGATTCTGTCAGTCTACTGAACATTTGTGCAGGGCAATATTAAGCTGTTTTAGTTCATGTCTTAAAGTAATTGCAATGATGTACCGGAGGTTCTTTTGCTGCCATGTAGCATTAGGATCTTGAACTAAGAGTTTAGCAATGAGCACTTAGAAGGAGAACATGTTTTATATGTGTAGATGAGTTTAAGAGCTTAAATTGATTAAGACTCGTTATAAAGTAAAACTAAGTTAGTAACTAACTAGCATCTGCAGTGGACAAATGAAAGTTGTTTGTTTGAAATTTTAGTGAGCCGATGAATTTCTTTTTTCCTGTGGAACCGCATTTGATGTGGAGTAAGTTTCTTAGATGAGGTATCTACGTGCAGTTAGAGCTTGATGAAGAATCTCAAGAACGTTTTAACTTTGATGAAGAAGATTTTTTGTGTTCACGGAGAGGGAATTTTGAATGTTTGGCGAATCATCTCAAGAGAGTTGAGATCATCGGTTTGAAAGCTGATAGTTTTGGGTCGAAACATCTGCTCGCCCTGATTAAGTTTCTTCTTGGGGATGCAGTTGTGCTGGAGAAGTTGATTATCAAGGCTAAATTGCCCACACGACATGGACGAAAACGTTTTAAAGCTGCTGTTCTGTCCAAACTATTTGGTGTGAGCAAAAATGTGCTCAGCTGTCGAAGAGCTTCCAAAAATGCTGAGGTTATCTTCGATTGTCCTTCCGAATGGGTGTCCTCATAAAAGCATATGAAAGTCGGGGTTTCGGGTTGATCTCATGGCAAGGGTATGTTGCCCTGGGCACTACACCGCTCATTTGTATTCACACTTTTTTTGACGGTAAAAGTTACCTGAAGTGTGACAGGATTAGGCTTTTTAACATGCCTCTAATTTGCTCTTGTTTCAAGTTTCATTCTAGTTGTAAATAGGAACCTCTCAAGGAAAGACGTTAATACTAGTGCTTTGGTTCAAGGGGATTTTTTTCCGGCAAAAAAGTTTGCAATCGGAACTAGACTGTTTTTACGGTTTGATTTGGTTCAGCTTTTCGAAAACCAAAACAAATCGTGTAATCATTAGTCTTGCTGTTAGCTCTGTTAGGTTTTATTGGACGTTCACGAGTCATTTTGTTTGATTAATAGTCAGGGGATATAAAAAACATAAGTTTTAACACTTCACTTAAAATTGACGAAGTTAAGGAGTTAAATGTGCGAAATGTAAGTTTTCGGAACTCGAGCACATTGTCGTAACAAGTTTTAGGACTTGTCCTTTAATTATTTGAAAAAAGTATATCATACAAGAGTTCGAGTTTGGCTAATTTTTGGCTAATTTTTAAGAGTAAAAGCAAAATATTTTTATACGGGAAATATGTATTTAAGACCTATTTTAAGTTACACAAACTTTTGAGTCTGAAATTTAATATAAAAAAGCAGTTTATTATATGCCCGTCCTTTTGGCCCATCGGCAGCTTGTCACTCAACTACTTCAACTTTTAAATGTTCTTCTACTTTAAATTTTCGATTTTTTTTCTTGTAAATTTTACAGCACTAAATTTGACTTTTTTTTTAAAATATGGAACACTTGAAATATTTTAAAATATTTACATAATGTAATGTCAATTCATAAATATATATTTGTTATTTTTTTAGCTTCAGGTTTTAAAGCAAAATCAAAAGCAGAAATATTAAGTAATCTTCATGTGATTCACAAACATGTGTGCGATGCTCAGATATAATCAACCGTACTATAATTAAGTTCTCAAATATTAAACCATTGAATTTAATGACATTTAAATTATAGGATAACTTAAATAATTAATATATTAATTATCATAATTAATTAAAGCGATTTCATCATAAATGATAGTTATAATTCATTCCAAAACCAGTTGAAACTTAGTAGTCCCTGACCTATAACTAGGAATCCTTGTTCCACAATCGTCAAGTTGTCTATTATTTATAATCCTTAACATAACATGAATAGATATCGATGCAATATTATATGATAATAGGATTTAACCATCATATAATTAAAATTGATAAAAAAAAAAATTCAAGCTTGCGGATGTTATTCTTAAATTATCCTGTTATCAAATAAATTATATTTTTTCAGTATTTATTCCGAGTTTGGTTTATATGTTCATGAATTCGCAAAATCAAAAGGGCGAGGGGTTCGCTCTTTCCCTTTGCCGAACTCAAAAGAGGGAAGGGGTCGCCGGAGCCAAAACTTGTCGGCAACAACTCCAGAAAAGTCGCACAGCTCGTGCTCAACGCTCTTCAACACACTCTTTCTCTCACACAAGGATGGTTGAAGGCGTCAAATGGTGCGTAGTTTTTTTTTTGTCTTCTCTTGATGGGTGTTTGGTTGTTCCTTTTTTCTGAGTAGTGGTGTGGCTTTTGGAGCGATGACGAGCGCAAATTGCGAGCTCGTCTGATGTTGATCAAGGTACAGGTTCGCAAGGCGTTTTGTGGTCATGTAGAATGTGTGCTTGTTTCTGTGTATTTGAGTAGCTTGAAAGATGTTAGCTATTGCACGGTTGAGACTATTTGCATGTGATATCTGTAACCAAACATTTGCAAATTCAGATAATGGGTGGTCCATGTCTCGTGTTGTCTCTTTGGTTGCAGATTCCTTTACGGCGAATCTTGTCGTGACAGAAGGGGAATCGGTTTATGATTTCTGTTGGTACCCATACATGTCTGCTACACGGTTGTTTTTTCAGTTGTGGTTATTTCTCTTCTGGTAATTAGCCACAGCTAGAATTGAGTTTGGAAGTTTTTCGTTATTCAGACCCGGTCAGCTGTGTATTCGCATCAACTACTCGCGATCATCCGGTTCATGTCTGGGATGCCACTACTGGACAGTTCAGAATTGTTGAGTTTCGTTTAGAGGTATCGAGATCTCTAGGGAGACTTTATGGAAGCCATATTAATCGTTTCGGGGTGCACTGTAGTTGTAGACCCTGAGCTTATCACACTTCTTAGACATGCTTTGTAGCAATTCTGTTACCTGCAGATGCCCCCTAGCTTCACCTTGACAATCTTCTACATGCAGCTTCGTTTTCAATTGTCTTGAAAAGAAAGGACATTTTATTGACTCGTACATTGGACATTGCATCTACGTTGCACATGCAGGGCTTATGTGCTGTGGATAAATTGACAGCTGCATTTTCAATTGGACGAAAGTTACCTCTTGATTCCGACAACCACAAGGTTTGATACAGAGTGATCTTCCAGGATCAAAACAGTGTCAATCGCACCATCCGATCCAACAGAAACTTTCTTGGTTAGAACCGTGACATATCATCGTCATTCATCTTCGACGTACGCACGCTGGATGCGGTCTATGTAAGGCATCTAATGTCTTCAATGTAAATGATACAAAGCGTGCGAGAAAATTCGATCTAAGCACGTCAAATTCATGTAATAAACCACCTCCTGTTCATGAGTTGGCCGAGGCGAACTCAATATATCAGGTCTCTCTTCCAAATATGTCGAATTATCGCATATGAATCTCGCAGCATAGTGATATTGCACCTCCAATAGAAGTCGAAACAAAGAGCAAGAGATTCTGATTCTTTCTCGATCGGCCCACTTAGCCATTAGGATCGTTCTTTTTCCGGACGTATATTCAAAGAAAAGTATTGCTAAGGACCACTTACAATTCTAAAGCGTGACCAAGTGTCCCTCTCGGTAACAGCTTTCTCTCGACATTAGATAACTTGTTGACAGACGTACACATCAACTTCTCGGTCTTTGTGAAATTAAGGTGACATTAAATGGCAAGAATCAGGAATCCAAGGATAGCTTTTCGAGTTCTTGAACTCCATGACAAGAGGCTTTCTTCAACTCCAGAGCTCTCTTGTAAGGCGGGGCGATTGGGGGTTGCACAGGATCGAGGCTCTTATAAGTCCCGTCGGGCGCTTTAGGGAGCGGGTATGACCGGTCGGAGTCATAGCCACTGAGGTCACCACAGGCTAAAAATGGAATGTACACCTTGTTCGGTCCCTCCAACCATCCACTACTGCAATCTGTCACGCACCACACATCGAAATGTTTACTGCATTGCCACAAGTGACTAAACATCATTCAAGAAAATCAGGCACTTGAAGGAAAGCCCCTAATATTGGATACTTAAAACTTTGATCAAACATTATAACCACAAATGACTAAACATCATTTAAGAAAATCAGGTGCTTGACAAAAAGCCCCTAGTATTGGTAACTTCAACTTTGATATAACTTTATAACCTTCTTTTCTTTTTATATTCCAAAGCAAGTTGCAAGGATAATAATCTAATCAGAGGAAGAGGGAACAGCTGAGCAGAATATTCTCTTTTCTGCAGATTCTCGTTATGCTCGGATTATGATACGGAGTTAGCAGCTTAAAGGACTTAATCACATATTCAAGCTGGATGCAATAAAAATTAACAAACAATATCTTTCTCGAAAAAGTCATCTAACATCAGTAGGCAATCAATTGAAGAAGAAGATGAAGAAAAAAAAAAGCACGGGAACGGCATAGTTACCTAGGTCATCAACTCCAGATGGACTCCCAATCTTTTCTAAAAGGTGGTGCAAGTCCTTCGGATTAAATCCTTCAGGGGGAGAATAGTTCTCACAAACAGCAAATGCCTCTGTAGATTTAAAAAGATTGGCATGAGTTTTTATCATTGTCCAGGAACTTATGAAAAGAAAAATCACTACGTCAGGAAGAAAATCTCTAATCTGGTAAACCCCATGCAGCCTCGAGACCTTTAGAAACAGACTTATCAACATGACAACTTAAAACATCCAAGGATTAACCTGCTTGGTGGATGCTGCCAGGATTAGTAATAGGATGCTCCTGAGAAAATGAATCAGACCCACTCAGGAAAACTAAGATTGGATAAGCTTTTTTCTTCATTTCCTTAGATGAGGGTCTACTCTAACAAGAAGTCAATGATGCCTGTCCAGAGCCACAGCTAGGTTCATTGGATGTTTTAAAGAATTCATTTCCACATACACTACCTAGATTCTAGAACAACTAACATGGTCATGTACCACGACGTCTACTTTACCGTCTGCTCTGTTTTCATCCCCACATCAGTAAATTCTTCAAACACTCATTGATGATGATGTCATTGAGCGTTGTTATATGGAATGGCCAAAATTGCATAGAGAGTAAAAAGCAAATAGAAAGAGAAATATAAAAATATCGTGTATGAGCTTCTTGAGAGTGCTCTTAAAATGGCACGATTCTGAGCGTAAATTTTTTTTGGGATAGTTACCATAATATGAAGTTTGTTTAACAATGAGAAAGATTTTCAAACCAGGGTTTAAACACAATTCAGAGTTCTTCTACAATACAAGAGGACTAGCTGTTAGGCAATTGACTTTGCGATTTGACACATAGTTAACTTACCATTTACATATATAGTCGCATCCCGTCTTTTGCATATAATAAAATATACAGAATAAAAATGAGTGCTAACAAAAAAAATAAGTGACTGACCAGCATTGGAAATTTACAGAAGACACAAAAATCATACCTATGCTGGAATTTCGACTGCTTTTTGGCTTTGCAAATGTCACAATAGGGAAGAATAACTTCAGCTGCAACAAGCAAACAAACAAGAAGGTATGGAATGACGATGTAATAGTTCAAAAACCACAAAGCAACATAATAATGGTAAATGATCTCAACACGAGATAACTTGTGAACAATGAATAAGACATAGCGCATTCACAACATCACAATTGGAAAAGAAGAAAATCAATGATTGGCCAACTCCCCGTGACAATTCTTGGAGTGAAAACTAAAAACTTTCAAAAGTTATTACCCATCAGTACTACTCAAATCGATATAGAACATACCGGACACTTGATACAAAGCACAAAACAAATCCAATGTTATGTAAATTCTATATGACTACCAGCTACTGTAAGTGCAACTCTTATAAGAGCAAATAGATAACTTACCTGGCTATAAAGAAGACTCGTGTCTTTCCCACGAAATATTTTTGCGATAAAGTTTCCACCTTCTTTTAGTACATGAGTAACAATAGTTAGTCCCTGCAGGATGCAATAGGTGAGTAGAGAGGCCAAGAGGTCTACCCACCAGTGTCGTTCATGGCAAATAAACAAAGTTATACTACCAACAGTTAACATGTAAGAATCTTAAACTGGATTGATTTTATTGACATACAATTCAACTATTCTTGTTTTCAGTGGTTACTGGAACTATAAGGTACTATTAAGCAGGATTCCCTCATTTTTCCAGTTTAGCTTTCAATATGACTTCATTTTTAGTACTCTACTTTCCCAGGTTCTCACTTTTTATATACAGGTAATATGGAAACTACTAGAAAAACAGCTAAGTGGACAAGCTAAACCTGCTAGATTTTTTTTTTCCGTCAGAAAACCCAATAGTTGAGATACCTAATTATTTATGTAAAATTTAAAGCAAGGGACAAAAGTTAGCTCAATTAAATAATTACATGATACTGGGACAAGAACTCAAATACAACCCTACACAACTGAGTGAAATAAGTCCCAGTAGATAAAAAGAGATTGTATAGGAGGATTTCTGCTGCTCACTTCAGTTTGTAACTTTTCTCTCTGGTTGAACTTGCTATTTGGCTTTGACCAAAAAAAAACAAAGAAATTGCTATTTGGCATCAAAAGCTTGTCAAAAACCCATGAGTCCAAAAGTAGAAGCCAGAAACGTTGTCTTCACTTATATTAACTTCTTTAAGTCAGACAGATTACAATTTCAAAAGTTACATCATCCAAACACAGCATTTCACTAAAAAGTGAAGTTAAACTGAAAGTGTAAAAACTGCAGTTGAAGCCAAAAAGTTACAGCTAAAAGTCTAAAGAACCCTAATCAAACTCTTAGTATTCCTTCTGAAGGAAATGACCCTAAAATATGAAATTTTCCAAGTCATAGATTATATTTCATCCTTAGGAGTAACTACAAAACTTACTGCTAAAATCAGTTGAGACTGAACAAACTCATCCATGTCATGAAGACCAGTTACTGCAAGTTCCAGAAGTTAAAACAGCCTCAGTGAACATGTCACCAAAAAGAGCAGATATAAGGGCATAAACGAGCTAGTGGCATACACTGATACACTCACCATCAGGAGCTCCGTCGCAGACCACCAAGTCAGCCTTGCAACCGTCAAAATGTCTGATTACCTGGCCCGAGAGAGAGAGAGAGAGAGAGAGAGAGAGAGAGAGAGAGAGTTATCTTGCAAAATAAATCTTTATGAAGCCTTGGACTGCAAGGCAACAAAGATCTCAGATAACATCCTTAGAATTTTATGAAGCCTTGGACTGCAAGGCCACAAAGATCTTACATAACATCCTGAAAATTAAATAATAAAATAGCTCTGCTTGTATAATGTAACAATATAGTGCCATTAAAAGTTTTTCCATCATGAAGCTACATCCATAGCCCTGTAAAATTTTTGGTAGGATTTTGTCCAATAGAATGTTTACATACCCAACGCTCCAAATATAAAAAAGGAATATCACATGAAATCCGGTATACTATACTAAAACCAAGCCTACTCCAACTGTAACAATGCACATTAGGCTAAAACATTTATTCATCCAAAAAGCAATTAGTAAATTGTAAGTATTTTGTAATCTTCCTTACATCGATGTACATATGATATCTACATAGATATAATGCACACAGAAAATCTGAAATGGCTTCAGTTCATATTTCATACCCTCTCAAATAAAGTTACTTCGCATATTCAATACAATCTTCTTCTATTTAAATATTTTATTACAGTTAGCATTTACCACATAAGCTATACTTTCCCCCTGGCATTACTTCTACAAAAATTCTCCAAAAAACAATGTGAAGGTAAAAAATAAGATGATTATTTGGAAAAATATTTCATTAAATTAAACAAAGTATTTTAGAGACACAGCTTGTTGAAATAATACAATGGTTGGTGAAGGTAAAAAGATACTTTTAAAAGTTTGGGAGGCTTTTCTTTCATTTTTTCTTTTCTGGTGACCAATAAGTTCAAGTGTGAACATGTTGAGCATGGTAATGAAAACAAAAGGCCAGATCTGTTATGGTCCATCAGACATTTACACCAAATTCATGCTCTTAAAACTTTGAAAGGAAAGTAGATAGTCAATTTCCTAACAAGCATGACTAAGGCTTTATTTTCTATTTCTTCAATTCAAGATTGGTCAACTTGTATCATCTCATTTTCCATTGCCAATTATATGTCATTGTCCACCTTTAAGTGTCACATATCGCAAGCCAAAGAAATTTTTCTTACCACTTCAGCTGTTCGGGCATTTGTTATATCACCCTGTACTTGGATGACTCCCTCAATTGGAGCCATAGGCTGTAGATCAATTGCGACTATAAGAGGAAGATCGCCTTCCCTGCAAATTAGGACAAAGAAGAATGGTCTGAACAGAGAGTCTGAGCAAGAACACAAAAATCAAGATGTAACACCAAAATCTCTATGAAGCAATAAGGTCAAAATCCAAATTTTTTGATATTGCTATGAAAAAAGTTTGTCCAAAGCAGGCGAAGAGGACTCAGTCTGAAGTTTAGTGTGCATGTTTTTCAGAATCCCATGCTCAAAAAAGATTTGGAAGTTTCCCATGATAGAAAGTATGTCAATCGGAAAATACATTTGATCCTTCAAAGGCTGTTACATGGACTTCATGACCCTTATCTATTGTGGATATATAGTTCACCAGTCAGGTCTGTTCACTTTTCGTATTTCATATGATTTGCATTATTTAACACGATACTCTCCTCCAACTCACCTACCGGTGACGACGGCTATAGAGTAGAGTGAAATGAAGCATCCACTGAACATGGATTTAGACAGTATCCAGTGCTTTGAAGGGAAACATCAAGCCTTTTGGAAGTTTCTCATGGTTAAATGCCGTAGAGGCAGTTCAGATTAAGGGTCAGTACAATTAATTCTACACGGATATGACGAGATCCATACTAGGAACTAATGTTCAAACTCTATATTCCCCATTGGCCTTTTCAATATGGTGTCCAAAACTCTTTGTATGATTTGTGACCGAATAAATAAGCATGACAGGAAGTTAACTAACACTAGTGCACACTTCTGTCACCGAAAAATCTGCCTTGAGATATCAGGATAAATTGAACATTTGTTGAGCAGACAAAATGGAACCACCAAACTCAAATTTATTGTCTCTAAACCACACCATTCTGAGGACACAATACCTGGATTACTAAGGGTAATATATTACACAACTAGGGAAAAGTACAAAAGGAAGCATGGTTGGTTCACTAAAGGCTCATTTAAATAGACACCTGAGATCTTGTCAAGTATGAATACAACAATAGCCAAGTTCTACATTAGATCATCCACAAGTTATAACATATCCAGCCACTCTGCTCTAGTCCAATTCCCCTTTCGAGATGAGATGCTATAGAGGGAACTAATGACTCGACGGACATAAAGCATCTCCAAGGCATTCATACAGAAGAATCGTAGAATAATTATCTCTGGGCTCTACAATGTGCAAGTCAGTTACCAGAAAAAAAATCTCACTTGCATGATGATCAAGTAACAACCCTAAAGGAAGTATCTGAAAAGTCATGATAGAAGCAGATAGATAGATAAAGAGATAGACAGGCGGGTGTGAAGGAAGTTGCCAACTACAGCACCTATAATTTGATTTTATCACCCAAAAGATTCTTTTGAAAAACATTTAGAAACACATGGCCTAGCATCCCAGGTCAAAAAAACTCTTGATGTTCAACAAAGGCTTTGAATCTTTAGAAAGCCCAAACTTTCCTTTTTTCGGATTTGAAACTTGCTCTAATTGGATGCCTATCTCAATATAGTATATGATTGGTTTTGTGCACATTGTGTCATTTCCATGCCCAAGTGTAGTGTGATGCGCGGAACATATGACAAAGGTATGACCCAGGGTTTATCAACTCTTGATTTTTGTTTACATATGATATATTAAACAGGGAAGTTTGGCCATTCAAACTAAGGATGAAGCATTTTATATATTCATCACATCAAGATAACAAGGAAAAAAAATGTCAACTAATTCTTGCACAGATATGGCAGATTGCAGATCCTCTCATAGTCTGAAGATGGTTTACTCAATTGAAGAAATGGCTAAGCCTTAGCATCACCTTAGTAGCAATTTCTACAAAAAGAGAAATCATAGAAGCATACACCATCAATGTTTACATTATCGATGAAGATTTTTATACCTAGAATCAGGTGAAAGCTTTGCGGGAAGATATAATTTACGACTTAAAACCTGCACATGGAAAGTGGGCACCATAAGCTAACTTTAATCTATTTTAACCAGCACAATTCCACACATGGCAAGAAGCCCAAAGGAGAGAAGCTATAGAGGAAAAGATGTTCATGACAAAATTATACAAAAAAGGAAGGAATTTGCACTAAGATCATTCAATTCCAGCGTACATGAGACTTGAGTTAGACAGGCAAGGCAAACAATTTCCTGAGGATCTCACCAAATTGTGGTCTTTAGAAGGATATACTTTAGGATGAAGGAAACACTTCAAAAGAAACACATCCATGTCCAATGTTTCCCTATGCCCGCAATGCATCCATTTTCAATTTTTCCGATAATAATTAGATACGAATAATTCAAATGTAATTATCATAATATGAACATAACCAGTTTTAACCAGTTTTTCAAGTGAGAAGGAAAACTGTGTTATCTAATGCCACTAAAAGAAAAAAGCAGAAACAGCTTCTTAAAAGAGGGATCGCAGTCCAAGATCACTTAATCATTGATAAACCTTGTGTTTCCATATACACTAGAATCTACATGGTGTTTATTGCATAGATACAGTATTCCTGTTCAGGTGCTATCTAATCATCCAACTGATTACCATGCAAAAACGTACATTTAGTGATAGGAAGAGAGATACGTTGTAAATAAGTGATTCCTGTTTTCTTCTGTGGGAAATTCTATGGAATTCATAACTGTCTCAATGTTGTTGTTGTTATTATTATTATTATTATTTTACTTTTTTTATTGTCTGTATGCTCATTCAAAATTATAGATATGCAGAAATGTACAAATTGACATTTGCTTACATCTAAATAGTTGATGAATAATTGAATTGTTCTCCTATTAACTCAAATATTATAACTTATTTTAGTCTAAGAATATTCCCACTCTTCCGTTAACTAAGGTTCTTGGCATGTTTTGGCATTTATTTCAATAAGTCCTCTTCAGCTCAACTTGTCAGTGTGAACAAAAATCATAGAATCAATTCAATTACAGAATTATCTTTCCAAAACCAATCTTATTAGGATATTGTGCTGTTGAAATTTGAAGATAAATAAAGAATCATTATCAGTTTCACTAGAGGTTGCCAGGTCATCTATATTCATACCTATTGATGCAACAATTTCAGGATGATTCATTACATACAAAAAGTTGACATGACTAACTTTTCTTCAGTAAAGCAGTTGAAACAAGTCATAAATTATTTGCATTAACATTTGTAGTAGAATTTGAAGTCCTTATAAGAGCAAAGCTGGAATAATCTTCAATTTTTCACTAGGCATCAGTAATCATTTCCCTGGCACTGAATAGTATACCTGACTCCAACTACCAGGGGCAGCACATAAATCTACCACACGTTTCACTCCTGCAAAAGCCAAAAATAAAAGCACAAGAAAGGTCTCAGTATATCAGATATGATGATTATGTTACCTCTGCATATGCTTTTTAGAAAATAATATACTAAAGTGACCTGCTTCTCAAAATATGGATCCCTAATAACAAATACATCTCTTTCGGCTTGTCACCTCCACAAATAAAAGAACTCATTTAATATAATACACTCCTCCTATCAAGCATGCAATTACTAAAGAAGAACATGAATAAGTAGCTGTCATTATTATAACACTCGATAAGCCTTTGCCTTCAAGCATGGCATGAACAATAGGGACCTCATGATTTGCCAAAGATGCAGCACCAAATCACATTTGAGACAGTCAAGCATAGACTTTCCTTTCATATATTGTGAAAATAGATGGCCTCAAGCTATACAATTTTCATTCAGATGTGATCTCTTGCAGTATAGTCAAAACCTATTGAAATTGTTAGATCATTCAAAAAATCGTCATTTAGGTGAGGCCGGAGTAAACTCACAAGTTGATTCACTGAATTCCCTAAAAAAGCGAGTCGGCTCGTAGCAACACCTTCATTATAAATTGTTATATTATCTCAAATGGGCTTCTTCAACTAGCACAGAGAGAATCAAGCCCACTTGCACAATGGGCCAACTTTGCAACCTCCCGACTCAAAGCCGAACTTTCCTTTATAGTGATGCAAGAGCATCAGAGCTTGGAAATTCTATTGAAGACAATCAACTCACAAGCCCCACTCAAGCCTCACTAATTAGCCAAGCCCATTTGTTAATTATGCAAGCTCAAGAGTAGATTTTGGCCCATTTAAGGAGCAAAACGTGACTTAATGGGTCCAATGAGGAGGAAGAAGCCAAGGAGTTTCTAGATTTTGAAGAGTAGATGCAGTTTGAATTGCAAGGCTGGGGGTTAAATTTTAAGTTCCCGTGTGTTTTAAATTTCCTATGTCTTCAATGTTTCTTAGGGTTGAATTTAAAGTTTCCATGTGTTTTAAATTTCCTTTGTCTTTAATGTTTCCTCGTCACTACTAAATATGTGTTGCATTCTCCATTGTAAGATTTAGGTTTGAGTTTGATATTATATGAAATTTCCTCCTCAATTCACTGACTCCTTTGATTTGGTGGTTTCTCCAATTCTTTGCTGGTGAACCATATAAGGTCTTTATCCTTGGCTGGTGGAAGACTCCTTTATGTCTTGGTGGTGAAATCTATCTCAAAGTTACTTTCCATCAAACACTCTCAGCATCATCTTAATCTCAACACGCATCATATAGAGAAGGTAAATTCATTGTAAAGAGAGTATCCACCATCGTACAACAGGAATTGCTACGAGGTTTCACTTTAGGTTACACATCTTGACTTACTAGAATACTTCTAGCTCAATGTGAGACAAAGTAGCAAGTATGTTTTTCTCAATTACTTGAATCTTCAAAGTTCTGCACTAGTTCAAAGTAATTGAACCATTGGCAAAGAAAGAAAAACCTACTACCAGTTCTGTATTAAAAAAAGGAAAGAGCTCATTAGCTTTACCCGGAAAGTCTTGGTTAGAGAACTTCTTTATAAATAGGTTATGTTTGACTTTCAATATAACATAGCTAATCAATTTATTCATAGTACTGGAGTATACATTGAAAATTATTTTATTATGTATAATAGATGTTTAGGGACAAGTTTATTTATCTAATAACATTTCCTAAGGATACTTCGCTGAGTTTTTTAAATCTTACAATTAGACGATTCACTCTTCTGATACAATTTTGTGAACCCCCTATCGATCTTAGTTGAACAAGCGATCTTGACTACCTTGATCTCTCGTATCCTCTACCCATCCTCATTAGATATGTGTGCGTGTATGTGTGCGCGCGCGCGCACGTATGTGTGCGAGAGAGAGAGAGAGAGAGAGAGAGAGAGAGAGAGAGAGAGAGAGAGAGAGAGAGAGAGAGAGAGAGAGAGAGAGAGAGGCCCGCTACCCTCAAATATATTGAACTCCTCGTCTATTTGAAGAAGTTTAAAAGCACTTCGAGCACGCCAACCTTCTTCTTTTGCTTTCCGATAGTAGATATCCTACAAAGGAATTAACTCTGAGTTCAACATGGTTGAAATAGGACAAGCCCATCAAATGGATGTCCTGCAAAATGTTAAGTTACCCTTTTGTCCCTTGAAGCTTTGCCCATGTCTTATTATGCTCCTGTAAGAGAACTCCACAATCCACTATATTCAAAGAATGAAAACAACGTCAATAAATTGTGGACAAAGGAGCAATATCAACGACAGAAACTAGATTTCAAGAAAGCAGCTTCATGAGGAATAAACTTCCGGTCATGAGGAAAAAACTTCCGGGTTTTCAACATGAATTCAACTCCAAGTCTCTCAATTTTACTACCAGTTACTCGTAATGACATTCCAAAATCGTCATTGTCAAATTGAAGAGCCACAAGATTCAAACAACATCAAACTTCGCCAAAAAAAAAGGAATACAGCCTAAGCTATTGGCCAATAATAGTTGGTTTAGCGGCTGTTGCTCCTATCCAAAATAATTCATGAAAGGTGGTTCAACTTTGACTTGCAACATACTAAAATAGCTCATATGTATTGACCACCAACATGAGTACATGATCATGTAACCAAATAGCATAACATCACCCTGAACGTCAAAGATTATGCAAACAGCAATAATTTCTATTTCAGAATGCATGATGTCAATGGGCACACCCCATTATGCTTTGAATATTGAGAAGAAATCCTCATCACCAAAACTAATTAAATGATGTTACAACACAATTCTTGTAACAGTCAAAGACGTAAAGTGTGCTTGTCCAGAATCAGATGCTTTGAGCAAGTCATCCCTTTTTCCTTCAACAACTAACAATGCCACAATACCACAACCAGCTCATCACAATGTAAGGCATCCAGTGGTAGACATCATCAGCTTCTCATTGCAGGTTATCACTAAAAGGGAGCATCCATGACCATCTGTATCGAGCGGAAAGTGAGTTGAAGTGGCACCGGCATCTCCGCAGAGCAAAGTACAGCCTTCTTTCTCGGCTAAGGCCAAGCTTAAAACTTTTTCATAACAAAATAAACAGATATGATCTATAGTTATCAACCCAACGACTTCCACATGCCTCGAAAGAGCATTTTCCTTCGACAGGGACAAGGCCAACATCGGTTTATTACATCAAACAGCTGGAGGGCATTTCCGGGTCATAAAGCAAACGCGGCAACTATCACGAACAACACAGCAAGCTAAGGCAACTCGGCAAGAGAAGCCAACGAAAGCGCCGCGACTTCGGAGCGAGAAACCAAGTAACAGACGCAAGATCGAAAGAGAAAGAGAGCGGCGAAGAAGCAATACCGCAGAAGGCGTCGACGGCGAGAGAGGGAGAGGGAAGGGGCGCTTCCCGACGGAGGACTCGGGCGGAGGACGGCGGAGACGGGCGGACGATCTGCCGTTTCCGGGCCGTCGGCGGTGGAACTGTTTTGGCGACGGCGAGCACACACAGGGGAGCGAGCGCCTTTTGCCTAAGAAAAAAACGAAAAAGAAAAATAGGAAAATCGCACTTATAATATTATTCGTATTCGATTTTGGTCCCTATGCTATATATTTCGTTACAATTTAATCCCCGAAATTATGTCCGGCGATAATTTAAGGATGGATTCAATTTTTTTCCGTCCAGGCGGGGACGGAAAATGCTGACTCAATTCCGACAAATCAAACATAGGTGCCTACTTGTACAAGCTTATAAAAAAAAAAATTAATTTTTGATCCTCATACTTTTAGGAACGCTCGAGCTCGATTCTTTTATTTTGTAATTGCAATCATATTATTTACTCCGTTGTTTGACGGAGCATGAGCCGTGGGAGCATGAGCCGTGGACAAGAATTTTAAACGATGGAACCCCAAATCGAACAGACGAGAGAGGGACGGAAGGGAAACGTACCTCATCCGTGGATCCCTCCCAAAAATCGGTGCCTTCAAATTCAATGTAGATGGGTCAGTCGTCGAAAGGGAAGAGGGATCTTTTTATGTTCAGAAACCTATACTATATGATAAGGCGACAGGGAGGGAGCTGTTGCCCGGTATTTGCCGATTCAGCGGGGTGAGCGGTTGCCGGATTTGTTGAAAGAGCTGTCGCGGCTTCTTCGGCACTATGAAGTGGAAGCCTTTTAGCCTTGCGATCTGTCTTCTTGCTGGTGGTACTTGGAAGCAGAAGGTGATCGATCATATGAGGTCGGGAAGTGATATGCACACGTAGAGATCGCTTCTGATGATAGCTTATCGCCGAGAAACCAAACCCATGGGAGCTGAGACCCACATCATCGAAGACTGTGAAGAGAAGCACTAGCCTTGTTCAGCTTAGTGGATTTGATGTACGGGACACAGGAATCTAATCGAGTTGCAAATTGGATCGCCAAAATCCATCGCAAGAAGGCCCCTTCCCTCACAATTGGTTTTGTAGAGTACCGCTATTACTACCTTCAATGGATCTTTTATGTTTGGAAACCCATAATTTATGCCTAGTGAGTTGGTAGTGGGCCGAGAAACAAGCCCATGGGAGCTGAGACCCATCATTGAAGACTGTGAAGAGAAGCTTAGCCCGGTTCAGCTTAGTCGCAGACTGAACCGCCAAAATCCATCGCAAGAAGGCCATTCCCCACAATTGGTTTGTAGTGCCCCTGTTACCTCTATAAGGGATTTTTTTTTATATTCGGAAACCCACAACTTATGTCTAGTGCAGATGGTAATGGGCCGAGAAACAAGCCCATGGGGGCTGAGACCCACCATTGAAGACTATGAAGAGAAGCTAAGCCCGGTTCAACTTTAGTGGATTTGGTCTACGCTACGGGAATCTAATCAAGTTGCAGACTAGATCGCCAAAATCCATCGCAAGAAAGCCCCCTTCCCCACAATTGATTTGTAGTGCCATCATTACCTTTAAGGGATCTTTTATGTTTGGAAACCCATAACTTATGTTATCCTTTGATGTTTAATGAATGAGGTACTTCGTTTTGACCTCAAAAAAATATTTCCTTTAAAATTTTTAGTCGTGTTATTATCTGCTCAATTCATATATTGTTAATAATAAGTGAGAAAGAAGAGGTAAAGAAGAAAAAACTTCTCTGACAATTCATATATTCTTCCATGAAGTCTTTCAAAATCTTGATAACATTAAAAGTTTTAATGACATTATTCTTTGCTAGATTAAGACTAAATGCTACATTTTGCAACCACATTTAACTCTTAGCTACGTATAGCTTGAGACTGCACGTGGTTTCTACCCTCTTTTGTCAAACTTCATTGGCCAAATAACACCAACTCTCAATTGTTCAAAAATGAGACACAAACTTTGGCTTGTGTAGCTAAAAAACACAACCTGTAGGATAAAAATACCATCCGTCACAATTTCGCCCGGTTCCTACAATTAAATGTCTATGTTTCAGCCGACGTGGCACTCATTATGCTGATGTGTATAGCAAGTGGTGTATCTTCTCTCCAAAAAACTACGGCGAATCATTCGAACGATTGAGATCGGGCAATTCTGTCGTCTATCTAAAAAAAACATAGTAATGAGGGTTTCTTTCATGAAAATCAATCGATCCCTTCTTGGGGATTTAGGGTGCGTTTGGTACAGCATTTGGAATGCTACTTTGGGAATGCAAATGCCTTTGGGTGGAAGCCCTTTAGGAAAAATGCAAATGGCGTTTGGTAAAAACTCATTTGCAAAGCTATTTTGACCCAAGTGGTGTTTGGTTAATTTTTTTTACAAATGGGCTTTGAGGGGGTTTTTTTAAAAAAAAGGCAAAAATACCCTTCGCCGGCTCCGGCGAAGGGCTACGGCTCCGGCGAAGGGCTACGGCCGCCGGCGAGCCGATCTGGCGCCGGGCGGCCGTCGCCCGTCCGCCGAGCGACCCCGGCGAGGGTCGCGCGACCTCGGGCGACGAGGCCCGAGGTCGCGCGACCTCAAGCCGACGGCCGCTGGGTCGCGCGACCCAGCCGCGCGACCCAGCCGACGGCCGCTTGGTCACAGCGACCAGCCGACGGCCAGCCGGGTCGCGCGACCCTGCCGACGGCTGCCGCTCGGGTCGCGCGACCCAGCCGACGGCCGCCCGGGTCGCGCGACCCCAGCCGACGGCCGCTGGGTCGCGCGACCCAGTGCCGACGGCCGCCCGGGTCGCGCGACCCAGCCGACGGCCGCCCGGGTCGCGCGACCCAGCCGACGGCCGCCCTGGGTCGCGCGACCCAGCCGACGGCCGCTCGTCGCGCTGACCCAGCGACGGCCGCCCTGAGGTCGCGGACCCAGTGCGGCCGCACCCGGGCGGTCGCCCGACCCCGAGCGGCCAGGCGATCGCCCGACCCCGGCGGCCGTCGCCCGGGCTCGGGCGACCTCGCCGGACCTTCGCCGCCGCCCTTTGCCCTCGCCGAGTCCCTTTGGTGAAGAAGATGAACAAGAACGAGAGGGCAAAGCCAGAATATTGAAATTTGAGTGAGGGTAGTTTGGGAAGTATAAAAATGATTTTGGCATTTGGTTCAAGGCTGAAAGTCCAAAGCTAGTCCTCATCGGCAGATTGGGCTTTCAAGCATTGAAAATGCTAGTTTTGAGCATTTTCAATGCTCAATGCTAACCGTTTGGTTCAGCATTTTTGGGAAGGGGCTTTCGGGGCTGAAAGCCCCTTCCCAATGCTGAACCAAACGCAGCCTTAGAGTTTAGGGTTTCCAAATCTCCCCCACAAACAATGAGATGGCATTGGTGTCAATTCTTTGAAGGCGACGATGATTCTTAAAGATTTTTTTTGGAGGAGATATCTTCCGTGACGTGTGATGTTATGTTGTGGCTCAAATTCTTACTACAGTAGGGGTTTGAATCGAAGCCCTGAGGTCGAGATAGGTTTGAGACAAGGTTGGAGGTGCTCGAGGTGCAAAAGAACAAAGGGTTGCGCGCCCAGACTGCTAGTCATAAGAAGCCCAATAGGCGAGGCTACCGGGCATGGGGAGGGTGTCTGGCCAGTGGCTGATTTGCTGACCATGCCTTTAGGTGGGAACCCCATAGTTGTGCTGACCCTTTGAGCGTCGTGTTTAAAATCCTATCTTTGTCTCATCTTGAGATAGAACACAATCTTAGTTGGATGAAGTTTTCTCTTAGGTTACATTTGGTCGTCCGGATAAAAGTCAGGATATGATATGTGTTATCCTCTCCTGTGTTTGGTAGCTGCCTAGGATAGGATAAAGGGGGATATAGCTAGGATAAAATAATCCTAGGGAGGAGGTAGGATAGAGTCGAATAGGATTTTTCAAGAGAGCAACACACGAGGGAACTAGTTTTTCCCACAATTACCGCCTCTCCTCCGCGTCTAACCGCCTATCCGCCGTGCCCAACCGCCTCTCTGGCGGCAGGCTGCCTCTCCGTTGTGCCCAACCACCTCTCCGGCAGCGGGCCACCTCTCCGGAGCCAGCGACCGGCCCGTGGAAAGATGAGTAAAACTAGGAGTAGATTTGATGAATAGGGAAGATTTATTACCTGTTTTCTTCTTGATTCTGGGATGTTATGTCATTCAGAAAAAGAAAGTTGATGTTAATTTAGTGTTTGATTCACAGAAAATGTTGGGACATTTTGAGATTTATTTTCATCTTTCTATGCTTCTACTCGAGTGAGATGTTAATTTAGTGTTTGATTCACATGCTTGTTCCTTACTAAGCAACTGGATTGGGGCACTTTCCCTGATATTTTTGCGTAAACAAAGCTGCAAGCAAGAATTTGCAGTGAGTGAAATATGCGATGAAGTTCTCCTTCACGTTGTGCCTATTAGTGGTCTGCCCTAGGAATCAATTAAGGTTGATACTCTAATATTAGTTGTGGATTAGGTTGTGTCGGAAAATCGACCTTCACTATACTTAGGTAGTCATAATGTCTTGCTAGAGACCGCTTATGATTTGTGGGCCAAAAAGAGTTTTGAGCATACTGCTAATGTTTAGTGAACCTACAGGGTCGCACACAATAACGAACGGACTTAATATTTTCTGTGCGCCTTGATCTACTTAAGAAGTAGATTTTGATTTATTCTCTTATTTAAATTATCAATGCGGTCGTGCGCGTTATGAGATAACGATTAAACGTACGATTAAAGGTGGATGGTTTGGCGGGCCCAAATCGCCCGGTCCACTTCTTTTAATTCCGCTGGATAATGAGGCTGTATAAATAGATAGAGAATCGTTCTCTGTCTAAGGTTTTTCGATAGAGTATCGAAAATCAAAAGGCGTTCAAGAAAAAGGAACTTCAAGATCTTTCGCTAGCACGTGGATCGTTGGAGAATTCCGTTCGTGTGCGTGGATACCGGTAGAGGCGCAACACTTGGGGTGCTAATCCAGACACAATCAATTGTCAATTTACGTTCGATTTGCAAAAGGTATGTATCGAACTTCTGTCTCGATTTCAATGTACACATGGATCCTGTCTAGGGTTCTATATTCCGCTGCGTTGTTTTTCGTTGATGAACCCTTCAGTGATATCAGAGCAATTTTGTGATATATTGAAGTTGAATCGGAAACCCT